TGTTCTGCACTGCTTTTGTGTTTGACTTCCTGTCTGACCTGATCTTAAGTGAGGAGTCTGACATGTTTGGGAAGTGCAGCGTGTCCAAATGGACTCGGAGCGTAATGAGTGTGCCCTCGCTTCTGGGGCACGGACGTAACGTACGTTTCGCGGCCGTTTCGCTGCGCTTTGACTTGCAGTGGAAAACATGACACTCAGAGACTGACAGATTAGGTAGATAGACAGGCAGGTAGACTGACTGAGAAACTGAACTGGAAAAGTCCAACAGTGACATGTTGTTATGATTGATAATGTTTAGTTCTTAAAGAGGTCAAATGTTTACATTTTCTGTTATTCAGCTGTGAGTTTGGTTATAAATACTACATCTGTTTGGAGTTACAAATAAAGTGTGTAAAATGCTTGATATGTGATTGCTTCAACTGATAGTGAATATGTAATGCTTATTTACCACAGTTATGCATTTCCTAAGGGATAAATGTTTACACTTTATAATAAGGGTCCAAAATTAATTCATTCAGTAATGATTAATTATGGTTAAGTTATGCTTTAGTAATGCTTATGAGTCTATTTAGAACGTGCTCCGTAGGGGATACATGTTTTTACCCTACCTGAGGTCAGGTAAGGGCTGATGACATACAGCACTAGTGACTACTTTAGACATTAAGTAATTGTTTATTAATGCCCATCTAAGTACCTTCTAAAATACAGGGTAGAATAAATGGATGCATTAGCTAGCTGCTACTTATTGCTTATTCTCTGCAATTCACAACAATAGTAAATGATTACTTGAGTAACTATTAGATGTTTATTAAAGTTAAGTCTCATTAGTCATCACACACTGGTAAAATCCATCTCCGCATTTGACCCATCCCCGTGGGGAGCGGTGGGCTGCAGCAGTGGTTGTGCTCGGGAACCATTTGGTGGATTAACCCCCCAATCCAACCCCTTAAAGCTGAGTGCCAAGCAGAGAGGCATTAGGTTCCATTTTTAAAGTCTTTGGTATGAGCCGACGGGCTTTGAACCCCGATCTGCCAGTCCCAGGGCAGACACTCTACCACTAGGCCACTGAAAAGGTTATTAACACATAAACTAACATGGTAATTAATGCAGAGTAACACGCACATGATGCTAAGTAATTAAATAATGCAAGAATTATTTGTCAGTGTGTCCCTGGACAGCTATGGCTACATTGTAGGTCATGACCACCAGCGTGTGAATGTGCGTGTGAATGGATGAATGATACACTGTAGTGTAAAGCACTTTGGAGTCCTCTGACTCTCAAATGCGCTATGCAAGTTTGAGTCTTTTTTCATATTTAAAGCTCATTACTGTGTCAAGTATAGTTCAGTAATAAACATTAGTTACCTGCTTAATAATGTTTAGTAACACAGTGTGATGCATTAAATAAGTTGTCAACACTTTAGTAATGGTTTATTATTGCTTAATAAAGCACTAAGTAACATCAATAAAGGGAGCCTTATAGCAATGTGTTGCTAACAATAAATCATAGAATGAATAAAGATGAAGATTTTCACCATAGATGACGCAGAGTAACCACATTCATGCAAAAGCAGGAGGAGTATTGCTCTGTTGAAGCTCTAAACTGCTGCACTCCTCGACGACATCATCAGTAAGCACATCTGGTTAGCCTGTAATAAGCAATTCTTTATCATAGGCCAAAATCATATCGTTTATACCTTATACCATTTATACTCCGCGTTAGTGCCGCACCTTCTTTGAAAAGAAGCATGGCCGTGAGGTGAAATGTCATTTCAGTTTATCTGTCTCTTTTGCTGTCTGTCCTTCTTTTCTTCTGATGAACAACTTACTGCAACAGTTTCAATAGCTTAAATCAGTTAATCGGCTTTCCACTATGTGTGTGTGTGTGTTTGTTTGTGTGTTTGTATGTGGTAAGTACAAGAATGTGTGTGTTCTTGTACTTACTACCTACAGAGGATCATCATGAGGTTTTAATCAACAGAGTGAGGACATTTTTGTGGTACTCACTTTTTGAAAAGCTTACCAGTTAGTTTTAGAGGAATGGTGTGAATTAAGTCTTAGTTGAGGTTGGGGTTAGGAATAGATCAGCATTGGTTATGGTTAGGGTTAGGGTTATGCATAATACAGTCACAAAAATGACTGTATTATGC